GAACTTTTTCAGTGATGGTCCACGATTCATGACCGTAAGTAAGTACGGGGATAAAGATCGACTTGAATATCGAGAGCTTCGTTTTCAGACTGAGCTCTGCTTTAGACACAATGGGTCGGGCTATTTCACACGGAAATGCCGCTGGCTGCACCAATTCGCCGGTCGATCTCTTCCTCCAATTTTCCATCACTAGTAAGTACAATTCCGAGGTACTTGAACTTCTCTACCTGCTCCACTATCTCTCCGCTAATCTAAAGACAGAAACGGGCGGGGAAAAGAGAAAGCAGAAGGTATGCAACCTTCTTGTCTCCACCTCTCTCACACAATTACACTTACCGCCTTGACTGCTGTGTCCATTCTATCCATGTACGACATGAACAGGAGACGGGCAGAAGACAGCCGGAGGACTGCAACCACTGTTCTTGCGCTTATGGGATTCGACTTAACGCCATTAACTCTGACGCAGCACCTGGCTATCAGCATATAGTGATTAAATGGCCCGTACTAGCTGGCCATCGATCCCATAGGTTGACAGCGCATATGTACACCTGATGGACGAACTCTCACGATTTTTCAACAATCTCGGTAGAACGAATATCTGGCTAGATGTGCTTCATCCATACCGGTAGCCACGCTGCTGTTGTATTTTAAAGTCAGTTCTCCCACGGCACATCTCCTTTCCAGTGCCTATGTGTTGATTTTACCGGAGTGGCCCAATAAGATAACACCCAAGTAATCTACGGTCTCTCTTCTTGAATAGAGATGCTACCACGCCCGTTCTCCAGTGCACTGATATCTTCGCCGTTGCCGTTACAGTTTGACAAATACGTGTAAGAAGCTACATGCCTTGTTCGCTATCGCCTTTTGCTTGGGCATGACAGAGTGGATTGCACCAGATCCAGCAGTCTTTCCTCTTCTCAAGCTTTACTCATCTTGGGTTATTTCATTCACAGAAATAGTGATATCCGTTCTCTCCTGCACCCTCTACAGGCGTGTCTTCCTGCAGTTGTTCCGGGTTAAGGTGCACGTTAAATTACTCTCTCCATTGCCGAAGAATGTCCTCATCTTCGGTAAGAGGTTGTCCTGACCTGCCCATCAGGACCGTTAGACTGCCTTTCTTTTCACCTCTAAACCGGTGGATGGCCTTTTTGAACTCATTGTTTGCCGTCTGGAAATTCGACTCAAACGCCTCGCCGAACTTATCGCTGCCGTCTTCCGCGCATCTATACACCGTATGCGAGTAGAAGGATCTTTGTTTCCAAGTCATTTCTTCAACGCTGCCTTTTATCTCTCGTCTCCACTGGGAAGATCATTTCTGACCTCCAGGCTGTAGGCCAACTCGTTTAAATCTGCAGCATTCGGCGGTAGCCTCAAGTATGCCGCTCTTAAAAGCTGTCACTCGATATCCACATCAGTAGTCATCACCTGGATCTGTTCAAA